TGTGGACATTATTTATATATAATAAAATATTGTCCATCTCCAATGAAATAGCTAATCTGCTTTCTTGTCTTTCTATTGATAGTATTTATATATATTTGTCTCTAATTAGGTGAAAGCAACCTTGAAGTCAAACCATAAAGGGAGAAAGTGTATCAAAAACGAAGAGATGGTGGTGCAAGGTTAGAATGATTAATCGCACGATTTTTGTGATCCTCAATGAAAAGCCCAATSATGAGAATTTGAAGAACTAGAATCCTTATTTAAAAAAATAAAATMTAAAAGATCTTGAGATTGCTTTGTTATTGAATTCGCTTCAATAATATGCTGTTTGCCTCAAAAACGAAAAATATAACCATGACCATAATAGAGAAGGCTAGTTTCACATTTGTCCGCTATATTACAGCTATATTTCCTTGCAAATTTGATCCAAACATCAAAGTTGCCAAACAAAATGAAATTAACTACTTCATCACCAACWTTGAAATAAGCTCAAAGTTCTTTTTACGTTCTTCATCCTGCTTCTTGTGTGTCAGTCACTTTTTAAGTACACATTCATGAGAAAATTCTTTGAGGTCACGGCTTTAACAATCGCATTGCAAAAACTTATAACTCTTATCTTCTGAACATATATAATTTTTACAATGATTTTGCAACATTATCAAAGTATATCCCAAATAAAATAGAAAGAGCCGACGGGTTCCTGGAAGAAATATATTTKTTCTTATGTCCCAGCTGTTAAGTCACAACTGGTTGCCAGCGATAAATTCAGAAAAAAAGAACTCTCCATCAAGGAATACTTTCTTATAATTTTTGTCAGAAAAATAAAAATTTCCAAACTAAAAAAATAATAAGCCCTTTTGACCATAAAAACTTTTTATAAGTCTTTTTTGGCCTTAAAAACCTTTTACAAGAAAAAAATTATTTTAAAGAATAAAGGGCGCCACATTTGCTTGTGAGATTGTCAATTATGTAGCTCAAAATCACTTTCCCAGGAAAAAATTCGTACAAGAACAGTAATTTAAAAGAACAGATCCCGTCGGCTCCTCCTGAATAAAACAGCAATTATTCGCTTTTCTCATGAGGGAAAATGGATAGTCCAGTCCCAGCTCCTTTTCGACCCGCTCGGTTAACGGTCCTATCGCGGGGAAAAGGGTCCAGAAGAACTTGCATGCGCATGCGCCGGCATGAACCAATAAAAAACGAGTTTGGGAAAACTTATTATTATTTAACTTAAAGGCAACTGCAAATGAGGAAAATTATTTCCTTTTTTTTAATGGCTTGATAATCTTTCACATGAAGATAATATCGAATCTTTTATTTACATGATTGTAGAAGATTAAGCAAACTTGATCGAACACAACATTTACAAACAACATTTAACTGAAATAATTACGATTGTTCGATGCAGTGAGCTTCGTCGACAGCAACACATACGATGTTATCTTGAAGTTTT